TGGAATCTAAAGGGTATTCAACCAAACCTCTCAGTTTCCTTAGGTCTTCCAACTTTGGTCTTTTGAAAATGTATTTCTGAGTTCTTCTCCTTCCAAAATCCATCCTATAATATTTGCAAAACAACTCTAAGTTCCTTGAAGAGTTAGAAAAAAGGTGTGTGAATGCATGGATGAATGTATGCACAAACACACATATGCAAAAACATAAGCAAATAAACATGAGGTTTAGGGTTTGAGATCACGAGCATGGATTCATGGTCTACCCATCCCAAGGATATGTACTATGGGTTTTTGTACCTGCGGAACAAGGTTCTAAGAGGTTCCTAAAGTCAGTGACCCATCTTTCAGATATTATTAACACACCAATTATTTGTAAATCAATAATATTCTCAAGAGAATCTCGTTTGAGTGTAGTATTGCGTATCAACTACTTCATATTTACACCCTCATAGTCACTGCACTACATCCTAATAAAGCCAAGTGGGGTAAGAGATAACTAAAGGTCTTCAGTTTCATATGCTCATAGGTCAAAAGTAGTAATGTATTCACGATTACTTGTTCAACAAATACTACCCTCAAGAGGGCCTCAATTGAGCGAAGGATCTCAAGTCAACTTCTTCGGGATTACTCCCTCAAAGTCTCCTTGACTATACCACGATTCCTATCTTATTTGTTCTCTCAAGTCTAGGTTAAAACTTATCTCACCATACAAAGGTCACCACCCTGCCAAACAGAAAACCCAAGCAATACAAGCTAACAAATATATACAAATAAACAAGATAGGCTTAACCCTTTTAGGGGATATTGTTCCTAAGTGAAATCGTAATTTCTGTTGCGGTGAGAGTCGGATATCAAGCTATTGTATTAACTTGAATCACAAAACATTAAATGTTCACCACCGAACTTTAATTTATCCAAAGGAAAGGTATAAGATCGAATAAAACCTTAATTGTATAATGTAACAACAATGCAAAGAGATCTAAAGGTTCAGGGGTTGGTTATACTAAGGGAAGGTATTAACACCCTAAGTATCTGTAGTACTCTATAGGAACCTCTTGTTGTATTTGTGCTATGTTATTATTTATTTGCTATCGATTGGAAATGTTCTATGGGGAAAAGACCTAAGGGTTTTACTAAGTATGCTTGCCAAAACTTCACTGTCTTATGCCCAAGTATCCTTACAAGGATGGAATCAGAGCAATCGTATTTCACCTAAACAAGGGTGAAGAACACTTGATAGTGATCAAGGTTCAAAGGGGGGGGGGGGGGGGTAAGTGTTCATAACAATAACACCTACATAGAGTTTACAGACTCTAACCTAAGTCTAAGTTGTAAGAGGCTAATGACTCTAACAAGGTCAATAGGGAAATTGAGGTAAGGCTAGGCTACCTATGATATAAAGTCAACAAAAAGATTCTTTTCTTTGGATTTGGTAACAAAAAAAAAGAATAAAATAGGATGAAGGCTAACAAGCTAACATCACTTAGGGATAACTAGACAAAGTTAAAGTAAGAATGAACAAAATGAGTGAACATGGATGAGATGAACAAAGATGATATTCAAACATGATATCAATTATAAGTGAGCAAAGGCAACATTCAAACATGATGTTAGTCATATAGGGTAAGACAAAGTTCAAATGCACATGGTAACAACCATAGCACAAAGGTACATGTGACAACATCAGAGACTTAATAAATTCATAAACAAAATTATGGTAACAACCAAAACAAAGATAGATATGACAACATCTAAGACTTAAAAAGGTCAAGGTAACAACCGAATCACAAAGGTAAATGTTACAACATCAAAGCATACATGAGACATAATTATGTCTTGCCAATTTTTCTCTTAGTTGATGATGCATATCATTGTTGACCATTGATGCATACTCTGCATTTGGAAATTGGACTGAACAATTATCGGGTTTCTTTCTAAAACGTTTAATGAATTATACAACAAATTCTTCTACTTGTTGTTTCAAGTTCATCAAATCATTTGTCATAACTTTATGCTAAGGCCGATAAAATATGTCATGAGAACACCTTTGCATGTCTGACTAAATTTCTATTAAGTTTAGTATGATAGAGGAATACCATACAAATATTCATTCTAATGCCCCTTTCAACATTGCGCAATAAACTGTCTAATGTACTCCATAGTAGGTTTGCCATCTTCTTTGAAAAATGACAATGCTTTTTATAAATAAACATATTCACGAGTTCAAGTTGTAACGAAAAGTAACTCTTGATTGTATCGACTATGAGGTTAAGATCCAACAAGTGTTTCCAAGAGATTTTGTCTCGACTGTAGTTGGGTAGCACCACACGTTCTTTGAAGGAGTCTGAAAACCCTTGTGAAATTTATCCATGCTCGACTATTTAAGTGGGTGATGCGTGAGTTTTCCCATTACTAAAAGGTACGAGGCATCTCATGTTCGACTTAATTCTCAAATTTTCTGACATTTTTTATTTCTTTGTATGCACATTTCCATTAAAATATGGTTCATTGCTTTTAGATTTTCTTGGTTAGTTGCTCTATAAATATGGTTTAATAGTTATATGATTCAATTGTCAAATCAAAGTAAGACTTGACTTATTCTATCACTTCCACGATTTGTAAAGACTTCATTTAATTGCATTACACCATTCGATCACTATTATAAATAAATTTGTCTTTTTTTATTCATTCAACAATTGATGTATCTAGTTCATATATAATTCAGATATATCAATTATTGAGTGAAAAATTAAGGTTAAATATGTTTGTGATCCTCCTAAACATTCCAAATTCGTTTTTAATCCCTTAAAATATTTCCTTCAAAGAATGATCCTCCTAAAAATTTTCATCCACACTTTTAGTCCCTAATACTAAAATCTTCGCTAAAACCGTCGCAATTCAGTCGCTAAGAAATAAATCGTCGCTAATTATGTTGTTAAGATGTAGAAACCATCGCTAATTTGCAAGAGAGACAAAAGATGTGGATGAAAAATTATAGAAAGACTATTCTTTGAAAGAAATATTTTGAGACTAAAACCAAAAATTGAGATATTTAGTAATAAAAAAAAGTGTATACTTTTGAGAAAAATATTAACGTGTCATGTTTTGAGTTATATAAATCATTAGATCATATCACAGGTGATTTAAAATATATCATATTATTGCTTTTTAATTTAAAAATATAAAAAAATGGAAGAAACAATTATTTGAACGAGTGAAAATAGGATGACTAGCTAAAATAGCATTTAAACTTTATTAAAATAATATACATCATTTTAGAATTATTAGAAACAATAGAAAACACCAGTTATGTTGAAGAAAAAAAAGTATAATGTAATACTATTTTTGGAATGGAGTACTATAATTTCTCAAGTAAATGTATTTACATTTGTCACAAATCTCATAGTAATTTTCATATATATATATATATATATATATATATATATATATATATATATATATATATATATATATATATATATATATATATATATATATATATATATATATATATATATATATATATATATATATATATATATATATATATATATATATATATATATATATATATATATATATATATATATATATATATATATATATATATATATATATATATATTCAATTTTTTATATAAAAAAACTATTACTCGTAGAACCACAAACAAAAATGACACAAAACTATAATTTTAAAAAACAATTATCCCTCTTGAGAACTCGTTTAATGAGAATAACATGATTGTTAAATAATAAAATCTAAGACCAAAGAAGCTGTGGTAGGAACAAAAAATGAAGATCATTGCCGGCAAAAAATGGAAGAATGCAAATAAAAGCTCTTGGAAGCTTCACATTATATATCCTTTTTTACTGCACCTTCTCTTGACTATATGTGTGAAAGCCTCTGGATTCTCTCCAACAGCCACTTTTTTTCTATCTCCATTTGTGCCGAGAATTATACCACCATATAAATCCCATTTAAAATATGTTAGTTTAAAATATTCAAAAATATTATATATATTACTACATTATAGCCATAATTTTTCAATGAGTTAGGAAGCAAAAAAAACTTAATTAAATTATTTTATAATACAATATGATACATAAAGCTGCTGAGCTAGCCAAGCTAGCCACCAACTGAAACAACCACCACCCACCTATAAAGCTGCTGCTGGTATATATGTACACAAAAATCAAATTCAACTGTATGACTCCAGCAGTAATAGTAGCAAAATTAGCAACATCAACTATACATATAAACCAACGTGACAAATGTTTTAATTAGTACTATAGTATAGAGACAAAAAAATAAAACCCAGAGAATAAAAATAAAAAATATTTAAATTTAATTATTTTCTTGTTCAAATTTTCAACGTATTTGAACAGAGAAGGTGGTGAATGAATATCAAGAGAGAAACAGGTGATTGAAAAAATGTTAGGTTGAAGCTGCTATAGTAGCGGATAAAGTTGTTACACATTAATTTATTTTTATTATAAGAAAAAGTAGGGGGTGGAGCCTATACAAAGTGGGGCCCACATACATTTTTTTAGATTTTTTTATTTTATTTCTTTTTACCATTTTTTTTTTCATCATCACGTTCTTTTTCAAAGGGGTAGATATAGCCAAGAAACCACCCATATACATCATACGTCATAAACCAATCAAATACACGTCTATCAAAACAAAAACAAATATAAAATATTATAAAAAATTTACACAATATTATTTATAAAAAAAAATAATAATAAAAAATAAAATTGTAAGCTTCCATTGTAAGTTGCCTTGCACACCACGGATCTTACAGCGTGTATGAACTGTTTGTTTGTGCATAACGCGCCTCTATATAAACTCGTCATCTTCATTTTATTCTACTTTCTAAATTTTCTTCTTCTTTTGAATCGATCCATCTCTTTCTTTTCTTTCATCACTCTCTATATTCTTCTTTTTGTTGCGAAGAAATTTCATCTTGAATCTGTGTGAAGTATTTTGATATTTTGACTATGGAAGAACCGATCGTTGTTAACAAAAGTGAAGAACAAGTTCTGGATTTGCCTCCGGGTTTCAGATTCCATCCAACCGATGCTGAGATAATAGTTTGCTATCTCACGGAAAAAGTGAAGAACAGCAAATTCAGTGCAACTGCTATAGGAGAAGCTGATTTGAACAAGTGTGAGCCTTGGGATTTACCAAGTAAGTTTTATTTTTTTTCTTCTTTCTATGAAAGCCCTTAATGATGTCATAAATAGTTTTTGATGTTGCTGTTGTTGTTAACCATGTGATGAAATGATTGAATGCAGAGAAAGCGAAGATGGGAGAGAAAGAATGGTACTTTTTTTGTCAGAAGGATAGAAAATATCCGACTGGGATGAGAACTAATAGAGCAACGGAATCTGGTTACTGGAAAGCTACTGGTAAGGATAAGGAGATTTATTACAAAGGAAAGGGTAACCTTGTTGGAATGAAGAAGACTCTTGTGTTCTATAGAGGAAGAGCTCCGAAAGGGGAGAAAACTAATTGGGTTATGCATGAGTTCAGATTAGAAGGCAAATTCGCAACTCAGAATCTCCCTAAAGCTGAAAAGGTAACAAACAATCAATACTCAATGAACTCATATACTCTATACGACTGTTCTATGTTGCATCTGCAAGAATTTTGTCTATCAGATGCATCATAAAATAGTCGTACAGAATCAAAGAATATCAATGGAATTTTCTCATTTTTTATAGATTGAATTTAATCATGGAATTTTCTCATTTTTTTCTTCTATATTTAATTTGCACCTTTACCACTTTTCAGAAAAGTGGTTGCTTTATTTGTGTTAGATTGAGGGTTTCTTTCATATAGTTACTTTAAATGATTGTATAGTTTTTTTTTTATATTTAATTTTATGAGTTTTGATGAAACTAAAGTTTTGTTTAATTGTTTTTGTATAGGATGAATGGGTTGTGTCAAGGGTTTTTCACAAGAACACAGATGTGAAAAAGCCTCAAGTTTCTGGACTTTTAAGGATAAACTCAATTGGTAATGATGATCTTCTAGATTATTCTTCACTTCCACCTCTCATGGATCCTTCATACACAAACGATGATTACAAGGGAATTACTATTTCTACTAATCAACAAATTTCATCATCAACTAAACCACAATCAGACGGCTATTATCTTCCGAGCTTCTCCATCAACAATCAACAACAACTAATCAAGCCAGAAGAGAATTACCATAGAATAATAAACTATGATCTTCATGAGATGAATCCAACCATGGTGAACTACACTTCCAATCTCAGCAACCCAATTGGAAACACACTCTCGCAGTCGCAACCACAACTCCGACTCCAAAATCCAAACATGAACTACTTCATGTATCAAAATAGGATGATGCAAAGTTCCATTCCAGCATTTGGAAACAACAATGAGTGTAAAATGGAACAATTCTCTTCAAATCAATCACAAGATACCGGTCTCAGCAATGATACATCATCCGCCGTATCGAAACAAGATATCGGAAGAAATAGGGCATCATTGTATGAAGATCTTGAAGGTCCTTCCTCAGTTGCACCTCTCTCAGATTTGGAAGGTTTTTGGGACTATTAAAGATGAAGATATAATAGCTAGTTTGCGATCCATAGTTTTTTTATCTGGGGATCATAAGCATCAAAGATATATAGTAGTTGCATATCATATTCATATATATATATGTTCTTGTTTGTTTTTATATAATTAAACATACTGATTTATTTATATTTATATTTATATATTATATAAACATATGATACATTATTATTAGGCATTATTACACAGGAAAGTTCTTGGATATACATATACTGTATAGATTTATGATAATATCCAAGACTTTTCAGTGTTAACTAGTTTATAATTATTATTATTATTCATAGATTTTATCGAGATCAGGACTTGAAAAATCATGTACATCTATATTCTTTTGTTATATTGATGGGTTTGTTTTATTCATTTCTTTGGATTTTGTTATTATTAATTTTGCAACAAATTATAATATCTTGATGAATCCTTCATGTGTTCTTGTATATATTCCTGGTGCATATTTTATGTATGTAATTCTATGCTGGCGAATATATTAATCTTTATGTGACAACCCATCAAGAGTGGGAAGCATTAATTCCCAAGAAAATAGTGCATTATTTATTTTTTTCATTTTTCAACTTGGTATTTAAAGCTTGGCTACCTAGCTAGTGCCTCCCAGCATGGCAAGGCTGTTGCTTAATTCCTTCCAGAATTTCTAGCACACCATGATAGCCATTATATGCTTCAGCACTATAATTTAAGTATTAAAAGTCTCTCGTCGGATTCAGATATGAGTGAGATAATCGTCGTTATACAAATCGATTTTGTAACATTGAGTCAATGTCAATCATATTTGTCAATCATATTTTTAAAATCGTATCAGAATTTATTTAAAGTTCGTCGGTCACCTGCAATAGGATGTTTCCGGAAAAAGTGATTAAAGTTAAATTAGATTGTGAGCAGCTAAGCACTGATTATTCAAGTTGATGATGCATGTGAACAATTCCCTGAATCTACGCAGAAGATGCTTGAGGTGATGGCATTTTGCAGAATATTAAAGGACATAAACCAGAGTCTTATAAAATAATAATAATAATAACACAACAATAACAGGTTTTTTCTTCAACATTACCTCTTGAATCTTTCGTACTAAGAAACCTCGTCATCTCTATTCACATGTAGAAAAACATGTATGTCATGGGTCGAGCTGTTAACGGCATGCTATCTCTTCTCAACCTTTTTTTCTTACATTAAATTGTGCAAAATATACACATGTTTCGTACATGTACCCGTCTTATAACTTAGTACATGAGTTTTGGCCATATTTACTGTATAGTTGTGACTATATCTGTCTTTTACTTTATAGTTCTTTTTGAAAATTTATGAATGTAAGCAACAAAAACACATTAATTTATACTAATTTAAAAAAAAATTATTTTATTTAATTTTCAATTAAAATGTAATTATATTTTTCTGAAAAAATGTATATTTTCATAAAAATAATATCATTAAATAATTAATAAATATGTTATGGGTTTAATGATATTCTTAACTGTGAATATTCATATAATTAAAAAATTAAAAAATATTTAAATACTGCTTATAAATATAAAAACTATGAGGATTAAAATAATTATTGAAGTCATTTACTGATGGATATATAATTTGCAATTTTTTAATTGGTGAAAAAAAGCAATGAGTGAAAGTTATTTGTATTATTTTAATTGTCTTTGAAAATTATTATTATTATTATTATTATTATTATTATTATTATTATTATTATTATTATTATTATTATTATTATTATTATTATTATTATTATTACTATTATTATTATTATTATTATTATTATTATTATTATTATTATTATTATTTGTTAAAAGATGGGTTTAATTACAATTTTAGTCCCTTTATTTTACATAATTCACGAAATTGGTCATCCTATTTTAAAGTTAAACAATTTTTGTTTTCTCTCGTACTTTTACATTAACGATACTTCTATTTTTTAAATGAAAAATTTCTTTTGAAATATGACAAATCATCGTATATAAATTTTTTGTGGAACTTTATAGATAAAAAAAGTTTTAAAATGAACATTTCTTCAATTTTTTATAAAAAAAATTAGAGGGGACCAAATTTGTTTAAATTTAAATGAGAGGACCAATTTCATGAATCAGGTAAAATAGGAGGAAAAAACTGTAATTTAACCTAAAAGATAAAAAAAAATGTGTGTATTTTTTGTTGTTGGTAATTTTATGGTTAATTAGAATGTAAATTGTGTTAATATTTTTATGTATTTTCAAAAGAGGGTGAATAAACTTTCGGTAATATCATATTTATAGTATAGTTTTCGTAAATATCTATAAATATTTATGAATACCTGAAAGTTCACTTCTTACGTGTTTAATATTATTCGCAAGAAAGTGATAATAATATCATATTTATCTAACGATATTGATAGCAGAAAATTAATATATATAGATACCCATAGTCATCCTTAAATTAAATAATTAAAAAATCATTAATTTGTATATAATTTATGTGTTATAAATTAGTGTTGTAGCAAACTCTGTCGAAATCGAAGAGTTAGTGTAGCTATCAAAATATGTTAATTTGTTGTTTAAGTTAACATGTCAAATTAGGCCAGTCTGTTGGATCAGTTGTTTAGTATGTAAGTTAAAATTAGTGCTTAGTTTTCCTATAAATAGCATAGCAGTCATCACTTCTCCATCAATCTCTAATAATCCGGATCAGAGAGAGAAAGTGTTGTATTTGAGATTCAACTGTAAACATTATTCCCTAATGTGTAATTGAATCAAGAATCCATGGTTTTAAACCACTTTGAATTTTCTTTCTCTTTCCTCTATTTTCTTTTCTTTATTTTGTGGTTTTCTTTTTGATCAAAAAACTAACCATACTCTGTTTTCTGGGAATGCTTTCACAACAAACTGGTGTAGTGAGCATGGAGGAGAAGATGTCGCCAACAAAGTAGGAGATTAAAATATTCACTGGTGTGAATGATTTCGGTCTGTGGTGCTTGAAGATGCAAACTCTACTGGTTCATCAAGGTTTGTTAGAAGCGTTGAAATGACCGATGAAGATGGATGTTTCCAACGGAGAACGAGAAGATGACGATGATCGAGAAAGCCTATTGTGCCATCATCTTGATCCTTGGCGATAAGGTTCTCTAACAAGTCTCAAAGGAGAAAAACGATTGTCGGCGTGTGGAACAAACTCGAAGGTCTGTACATGACCAAATCTTTGGTTAATCATCTCTACCTGAAGCAAGCTTTGTATTTATTCAAAATGAGTAAAGACAAAGTATAGTCTGAGTAGTTGGATATGTTCAACAAGTTGATTCTTGGTCTTGAGAATATCGGGGTAATGATTGATGATGAAGATCAAGTATTGTTGTTGTTGTGTTATTTATTAAGATCTCATGCTCACTTCAAAGAAACCCTCTTGTATAGAAGAGAGTCATTGACCTTTGAAGAAGTTAAGTCATCATTGTACTTGATGGTCATCAATGAAAGAAAGAAGCACAAGTCATCATTTGTTGGTGAATGATTGTCCATAAAAGGTAAATTCTTGAAGAAAGATGGTAGGTTTGAGAAGAAGAAGGGTAAGGTTCTACAAAATTCGTATGGTGGTAATGTCTTGCAATAAGGTGTTATCATTGTAAGAAGAAGGGTCACACAATAAAGGTGTACCCTGATCGACTATATAATCATGGTGGAAAGGATAATAGTAATGCAACCGTTGTGCAAGATGACTATGAAACATCTTATGTCCTGGTGGTTTAAAGTAGTGATTCTAGCAAGGAGTGGATTATGGATTCAGGGTGTACTTGGTACATGACTCTAAATAAAAATGTGTTTGAGGAATTATGTGACCAAGAAGGTGGATAATGTTGCTGGGAAACAACAAAGCCTGCAAAATTATAGGTATTTAATATGTAAGATTCAAGCTCAATGATGAGTCAATAAGACTATTGACTGATGTCAGGTATGTTTTCAAAGGAGAGCAGAGTATCCTAAGGATAATGAAGGGGTCGAAGGAAGTCTTGAGGGACATTAAGAGGCAGGGCATGTATACCCTTGAAGCTGAGGTTGTAAAGGGTTCAACAGATGTGGCACCCAAAAAACCCGTGTCAATGACTGAGCTATGACACAAGAGACTTGGCCATATTAGTGAAAGAGGCCTGGACGAATTGTCGAAACAAAATCTGTTAGTGGTGACATGGTCGAAAAATTGGAGTTTTGTGAACCTTGTGTATTTGGTAAATCCTGCAGGATGAAGTTTAACAAAAGTAAACAAAGAACACATGGATCTCTTGATTATATCCATGCTGATCTTTGGGGTCCCACAACAAATCCTTCACACTAAGGTGCATGATATTTTCAATCCATAGTTGAAGATTAGTCACGAAAGTTGTAGGTATTCATTCAAAAATCTATGGATGAAAATTTCAAAAGTTGGAAGACTTTGGTCGAAAACCAAACTAACAGGAAGGTCAAGAGGTTGATGACTAACAGTGGTCTTGAATTTTGCAATGAGGCTTTCGATAGCTATTGAATTGTATCTAGTATTGCAAGGAACATAAATATTATAGGTACTCTCAAACAAAATAGTTTGGCTGAAAGTTTTAATCGAGCCATTTTAAAAAGGGTTAGGTGCATTTTGGTTATTGTAACTGTAACATACCTGATAAATAGGTGTCTCTCGGCTGCCTTGGGGATGAAGACACCTGAAGAAGTCTGGTCGGAACATCCACCTAATCTCGACAGACTAAGAATATCTGGTGATTTACGCTCATATTAGGCAAGACAAGATAAAATAGAGCTATGAGATGTATGTTTCTTGGATATCTTGAAGGAGTCAAAGCATATAGGATGTGGTGCCTAGAGCCAAGTCACAGAAGGTGAATCATAAGTCGGTATGTATTTTTCAATGAAGCATAAAAGAATTTCAAGAAAATTGATGATGTTGATCGAAATGTAAATATATCTGAAGAAGAGTTGAAACATGTCAAGATTTTTGTCAAGGGGGAG